TCCCACGGCGAGCATGTTTGGTGTGACGGGGATTCGAACCCGTGACCCTCAGATTGGGAGTCGAGTGCCCTAACCACCTGGCCATGCCGTCCCCTTGTCATTGAAGTCTTGAAAATAAAAAAAATTATTTAAGTCAGTTACTTAAGTTGTCTCAATGCTTTAAGGAATTCCCATACGTATATTTAACACAGTTTATATATCCAATTTTTACATATCTGAGTGATCTACATATTCATTACATTAAAATCACTTATATTTTGTTCAGTTTAATAATTAACACTTAAAAACAATGAGATATGTACTCGACAGATTTTCTGAAAACATATTTTAAATCTTTTCATTTCACTTATAAACTATTATACTAATAAAACATTCAATATCACACTTTTAAAGTGGCAGGGAGATGCTATTAACGACTACCACTGAGCAAAGAAACATTTGGAAGGAATAAAATATACACGTATACATTAAATATGCTTAGACGTAACAAATAAAAAAAAGAAACCAAATGTCTTAAACCAAAAGTTCTAAACTTTAGATTGTATGAAGTAATACTGACCTTTTGATAAAAGGGAAAACGAAAGTTTGAAAATAATCAATAATCATTCAGAATCTTATTTTTGTTATCGAACTACCAATATGTTATGAATGTTCTACGATGAAGAATACCAAATAATCACCACATTGTTATCTGTATGTAGCCACTGACCAACAGCCTAGAATTCATTGTTTTAAATAAAAGTTTCTTATCAGCCATGGGATTCAGTGTTATCCTCTCTCAAGAAATAAGTGACTGTCTTCACTACACCTGAAGATATGTTTATACATTTTTTTTCCTCTTTAACAACAAATAGAAAGTCCATCAGGCAGCTTGACTCAAAGTGGTTGTGTTGCTGGACGATGGGTTCAGTGTTGTCAGACGAGTCAAATCTGAATGGATCGTGGTCAGACTATCATCAGGCGGGCAGACTTTAGTCTGGAGACTCTGAATGTAGCTCTGTAACAAAATAATGCACACTCACTCTTGATCACCAGGGCAACAAAAAGAAACTTGACTTATAAAGTCATACTAGTTATGTTAGTTTTCGGTCAGTGTCGGCTGTATGATAGCACACGTTTTAAACAGTAGTGTATAAGATACCCGTTCCGGGCATGGCTTAGAAGGGGGGAAGCAAAGTTCCAGCTATTTGAAAACTAAATGTGACAATATGATTTTAGAACAATTTGTCAAACTTGCCCCAGGTACAAAACCACCTAGTTATGTCACTGGTTTCAAACTTTAGATTGAAAAGTGTGACTGAAAGAGTTTTTAGAAAGTTTGAAAATTGGTAAATGTTAATAAATTAATTAAAGAGAAATATTGAAAGTAAAAAAAAACGTTCCAGCAAGTTAGTCAACATGCCAAAAAAACTGTTGATATTTTGATAGACAATTTCTTTCTGAAAAAGATCAAGCATGTTAGCCTTTTTTTTCATGTTTTAAAAATTATTTAGTTGCTGATCAGACTGTACAAACAATTACTGAAAATGATTTAATTACTAATCAGACTGTACAAACAACTACTGATAAAGATTTAATTACTAATCAGACTGTACAAAC